CTTAGATTGATTTATGTTTAACAGTTACAAACCTTTTAAAATCAGAGCTATATGTGTGTCTTCAAAAGTTTTATATTGCTTTTTCCCTAGCCAACTATATTTTCCTTGAATTTTATTGCAGACCAGCTTCTTATGGCTTCTCCTAACAAATTCGTTTATGGTTTCCTCACCAATTTTGGAAAGCTCATTATCCTAAAATATAAATCAACATGTAACAGTAATCTAACTACCCCACAAACTTGATCATCCATGCTTAATTATTTTAGTTTAAACTATCTAATAAAAAAAACAGGCTCTGTTAAAAAATCAAACAAACATTCATTTGCAAATTTTGGTTTCTCATAACCATGGTAAATGTCTATTAAATTTACAATTTTAGGATATATCAACAAATTATACAAACTACGATAAAACTGACTACTAAAACTCTTTTTTAATGAGATTCCATAAAAATTTACACACATTTCTATAACATTGTTTTATTGTGAAGATAAAAATATGTTTGAAATTTGAATCATATGGATCAGAGTAATTGTTCTCTGGGTGAAGCAAGAAGGGTTCTAGCATCTGAACTTAAATGAGAAAGATCGGGAACTTCTTTATAATTTTTTAATAAATCACCTAGTATTAAAGGACAAAGTCCAGTTGAATAAATTATTAGAAAAATTAAAAACATCTCGATAAGGTTCTCCAGAATTCTCGTTAAAACCATATTTAAACCCTTCTTCAGTTTCATTGAAAAAAAAGCTTTGTAAAGTATCATTGGAATGGTCGGCCACGTGGTAATTTGGATTATTTTAGGCACTTAACATGTTAATAAAAAGTTTAAATCGGAAGTATTGTAACCAGAACTACATGTTTGAACTGAAACTCTCGTCAAAATTATCAGTTAGTGATTCCGAAGAGGTTTGAAGAAGACGGAATATGGGGGTTATTAATATTTTCAACAATATTCTCTAGGTTTTTCGTAACCTTCCTCTGTTGATGACGCTTATAAACAAATCGTTTACTTTTAAACATAAACAATTTTAAGAAAAATTACTTACCTTTTTGTAATAAAATAAAAATCAAATTCGGAAATAACCTAACAAAAATGGTACCAAACTTTTAACCATGCACTATTTTAAAAAAGACCAATGCACTGTACACTGCTTAAATAGAGTTATTTTATTTCTTTTATTAAAGCAATAATAATAATATTATGATTAAACTGTGCCATTTGTTTAAATTAAATAGGTATGACATGACAATGACAATATTGACAATTAATTTCATCAATCATCACATGTCATATCACATCATTATTTTTCATTATTTTGTCTTTGAAAAGACAAGAGACAATTATTCTGTGGAAAAGATTATCAAGATTCATCTTGTCGATAAAAATCATATTTTTACTTATTAGAATTAGCAAACATATATATTATTATCTTAATAACTAGAATAATAAAACAATTGTAACGAATTATCTAGAAATAAAAGATTTTTACACTTTACCTAAAAACAAAAACATGTTTTGGATATATTAAACTATACAATTTTTAATTAATTGTGATTTAACCTTTTCGCTTTTAATTATTTTATTAACGTAAATAATTTTTTATTTTATTGAAATATTTGCTATTTGATCCCATAATTGGTAAATGTCGGATGTCCAGAAAACGTCCGAGTTCGGACGTCCAGGGAACGTCCGAGTATGGACGTCCAGGGAACGTCCGAGTACGGACGTCCAGAGAACGTCCATATTTGGTCCACCCAAAGTACGTCCCACTTCGTACGTCCATAGTACGTCCATTTTACGTCCAGGGACGTCCGGACCAAAACTGGACGTATATTGGACGTCCATAGGACGTCGTGTGTTACTAGGGGCTGTACAACTCAATAAAAATTCGCATACTGATCATGGACATCGGAGACCAAGATCCGGCAAGAGAGGTCATTCCCATGACCACAGGGCCTCTCAGGTCGTTAATATGTAAAATCCCTGTGAAATACCCAATAAAACACCTTTAAAAAAAGTCCACACGAATTGTCTGAAGAGGATATCCACTTGGAACGTTAGGACGATGGCTCAATCAGGAAAAATCCAATGCGCAATTAAAGAAATGGAACGCATGAAAATAGAAATAATGGGCATAAGTGAAATGAGGTGGCCTGACTTAAGTTATTGTGATATAGAAGACTACAGAGTATACTATTCAGGATCAGAAAATGGTAAATATGAGAATGCTAGACGCCTGTATACGTGGACATCACCTAGAGACAACGGAGAAGACGTTATTATTAGAAATCAAATAGACTATATGCTTGTTAACAAAAGATATCTAAATAGTTTCAACAGTGTTAAAACCTACCCAGGCGCTGATATTCAATCTGACCACAATCCTTTAGTGGGCGTGTATAGAACTAAGTTAAACAAAATACGCGGAAAAACTGTAAAAAAACATGACATGAGAAAACTGAAATGTAACGAAGTAAAAGAAATAGTCAGCAAAACATTAAATAGAAAATTTAAAGAAATCGATAATACAACGGAAAGCACAGAAGATAAGATAGAATCCCTTAAGAAAACAATAGACGACATTAAAGACAATTTTATGAAGAACGAAGAAGGTAAAAATAAGACATGGATGACGACAGAGATTCTGCAACTAATGGAAGAAAGAAGGAAAAACAAGAACGATAACTCCATGTATAAAACATTACAGCGAGAGATACAGAGAAAGATCAGAGAAGCCAAACAGAAAGAACTGGAGAAAAAATGCCAAGAAATCGAAATTCTCCAAAGTAAATACGACGACTTCAACGTGCATAAGAAGGTAAGAGAAATTACAGGTAAATGTAAAAACAGAAGAATAAGTAAACTTGTTAATGACAATGGAGAGATAATCGTGGACAAAGAGAGTATCAATGATACCTGGAAAAATTACATAAGAAATTTATTTTTTGATGAGAGAGAGAACCAGCCCCCAATACCTACGGAAACAGGACCACCTATACTAGTGGCAGAAATAAGAGCAGCCATAATATCACTAAAAGAAGGTAAAGCTCCAGGACCAGACGGAGTACAATCTGAATTTCTTAAACTTCGTGATGATGAATCTTTAAGAGTACTATGTAAAATCTTCAATAATATCTATGACACAGGCAATATCCCAAAAGATTGGTTACTTTCAGAATTTATTACCTTACCAAAGAAACAGGGAGCAAAAAAGTGCGGAGAATATAGGCTAATAAGTCTAATGAGCCATACATTAAAACTTTTTCTTAAAATTATACATCGTAGAATATACAAGCTATGCGAAGAGAGAATACAAGACACACAGTTTGGATTCATGAAGGGCGTAGGTACAAGAGATACACTGTTTAGTCTACAGGTATTATTTCAAAGATGCAGAGATATGACTTGCGATATTTACACCTGCTTTGTGGACTACCAAAAAGCATTTGATACAGTTCAACACCAAAAAATGATGGATATTCTAACAAAAGCCCAAATAGATGATAAAGATCGGCGTATAATACAAAATTTATACTGGAACCAATCAGCCACAATAAGAACGAATTTTCAGAGGAAATATTTAGTGAAGCCTTGGAAAAATGCGAACATGGAATACTTCTAAATGGAGAACGCCTAAACAACATCCGTTATGCAGATGACACCGGTATTTTTGCAGACAGTTTGAACAGTTTACAGCAACTAATAAACAAAGTAAATGAAGTAAGTGAAAGATTTGGACTTCAAGTAAATATAACAAAAACTAAATTTATGATCATCAGCAAAAATAAAGTTAGAGACGCTCAACTACTTATCAATAATACACCAGTGGACCGAGTAAAACAGTATAACTATCTTGGAACAACAGTAAATGAACAATGGGATCACTCACAGGAAATAAAATGTAGAATAGAGAAGGCTAGGAGTGCATTCAATAACATGGCCAAACTCTTTAAAAGCCACAATCTTAATCTGGAGATAAAAGTGAGGCTCCTACGATGTTATATCTTTTCAATATTGTATTACGGAGTTGAATCCTGGACACTAACTGAAGCAATGGAGAAAAAACTTGAAGCCTTCGAGATGTGGCTATACAGGCGAATTCTAAGGATATCATGGACAGACAAGATAACCAACGAGACCGTATTACGGAGAGTGGGCAAAGAAAGAGAGGTGATGTATACCATTAAAAAGAGAAAGTTGGAATATCTCGGACATATAATGAGAAACAGCACTAAATACAGATTACTGAAGGTAATCCTACAGGGTAAAGTATTCGGAAAGCGAGGAATTGGGAGAAGGAGAATATCATGGTTGAAGAACCTGAGGAAATGGTTCTCCACAACAACAACAAATCTATTTAAAGCATCAGTCAATAAAATAATTATAGCCAGAATGATTGCCAATATTCGGAACGAATAGGCACTGAAAGAAGAAGAAGAGATAACGATATACGTTCGTTGTTGGGAAGTTCTGGAAAATTTTTGTCATAATTTGTTAGCGGTGAAAAGGACTTGCGACTTACTAAACTGGATAAGGAATTCTCAGATATTTCTTTGGCTTCTTTAAATGAGGTGTTTTGCTCTATCATTATATTTTAAATTGTTTTTGATTGTCATTAGAGGAAAACTTTTTTGAGATAGATGCGTGATCTCTGCTTTTACAGTTGACACAAAAAATCAAATTTTTATCATAATTGTGCTTTAACTTGCTTTAACTACTTGATACGTGTAATTTCGCATTACGTTCGACAGTTTGATATGTTATAGGGAAGAAAAGGTATTTGTTTTAGCACAAAAAATGTTTTATTTAGCAATATGGCAACTTTTAATTAATCCTGTATAATTAATTCAACCAACGTACTTCTAGTTATTTATTAGACTCCTCTTTAGTCGACTAATATACAAACCATCACATAATTCCTTAAATACATAGAGACCTATTGCCTTAGAACAACATAAAAAGCTCATTTAAATTCAGCTCCACACCACTCTGCAATAAACTTGAACTTCATATGCTTCCTCACCGACAGCACACATCAAGAAAATCACACAGAGTCCGCTTGCGTGAATTTCCCTTGACTCTGGTCGTGCACCCAGCAGCAACCTGTTGCTCTCGACACTTTTCCGCGCTTTCCCAACGTTTTCTCTCCGAGGCATTTCCTGTGAAAATCCCAGGACGAACGAGGTCGGGGAGAGAAGTTATTTAACGGGTTTAGAAGCTTTTTCTAGTACGAAAAAGTTATTTAAGGGTTGTGTAATTTTGTGGGGTGAAGATTAGTTGAAAGAGAACAGGGTTTTTGCGATCAACATGTATGGAATGTTGTTGGAGAGCGTCCAGCACTTCGTGCAGGTGAGTTTTTTAAAGTTTGCTTGAAAAATAATTTATCACGCGGAAGCAGAGAAAGTTATTTATAATCTACTGTTTTTTTTTATTTTCACAACGAAACAATCTGTCAGTGCTTATAAAAATATATCAGATACTTATTTTTAAAATAGTTTTTATATATTCATTTTTATATTATAGATAAGTATTTAAAAATATTCTCATATTTTTATTTCTATTATACTTGGCTTGACGAGAAACAAAAAAAATTTAATACAGTGGATGAAGGTAAAAATCAACTATTACCTCCGATTTCGGTGACCTTTCATCGATTTGCATGAAAATTTGGGATTGAGTATATTTTACCCTCAACTTCAAAAGTGACACATGCTCAACTTGCGCTTTTTGAATTTTAGGGGTGAAATTCACCTCTTTTTTTAAAAATGGTAAAAAATGCAGATTTAAGCATTCTGGCATAAGTAATCTCGATTAATTAAATAAAATAAATATGTTGCAACATTTATAAGCATGACTTATGATTTTAATTAATTTTTCAACCCTTTTAGCAACTATTCCTTAAATCGAAAATCATGAAAAGATCATTTTTTATATTTCTGAAATATCAAATAGCATATTAATATTACCCAAATAGTTTATTTAAATAATAAATTACTGAATTGAAATCTCATTTACTGAGTATTAAAGTATTTATTTATTTATTGCGTAATTTTGCACCCTTAAAATACCCCTTGTCATGAAAATAATGGAAAATATTTTTTATTAGCTAAATAATTTATTAGCTAATTAATTACCTTAAATAATTTAGAAACTTTTTTATTATAGTTTATTTTTATGAACGAGAGAGTAATTAGCATAATTTTAACTGGTACCTCCAACCAATCCATGAGCGTGCTCAAGATTAATTGAAAAATTACTTTGAATAATTGTAAAAAATAAATGAATTATTTCAGTGTTATAAAGTGTTATGTTTATGTACAACAAAAGTGACCTCTTTTATCACACACTATATTAGAACTGACTGGCCTACATTAAAAAGGGTTTTAAAAAATTCACATTTTTTTAAATTTTACCAGTTCAATCGGGTTTAATTCACAATGATATGGTGGGGATCTAAGTACTGTCATTCCACGATTTTTGGCAATTTCATCAATTTCGTATTTTTTAAATTTTTCTTTATGCAGGGCACACAACGAATAAAGTTCCTTTCTTATAGATCCGGGATGGTACGTAATATTTTTTGAACTCAGCCAATTCTGCAAGTCTTTTTTTAACCACTTGGTTGTGGGCAGTCCTTCTATAAGTCTGGAGTGATAACTTGCATTATCCATTACTATTACCCAATTCTTAGGAAGAAGATCTATCATTTGTTCGAACCATTCTTGAAAGACATCAGCGTTCATGTCTTCATGGTAGTCACCGGTACGAGTTGATTCAAAAGTTAATAAACCACCTTCAACAAAACCGTCTGAACTGCCAATGTGTACTATTATCAGCCTGCGCTGATAAAGCGCAGGCCCTTTCCTGATGGTGGGTTTAAACCAGTAGATAAGTTATTTACAAAAGCGTGCGTTTGACTTGTAACAGTTTCATCCTGCCAAAATTCATTTGGTGTATGACCCTCGTTGATCCATGTTTCATCAAGATGAAATATTTTTCTTTTTTGGTTTCTCATTTCCTTTATGGTTCTTAGAAAATGTCTTCTCCATATGACAATATCGCTTCTTTCTAATAAAATAGACTTTCTGGGATTCTTTTTCCAGCGGAAGCCTATTTCTTTTAAAAGTTTCCATAACGTACTTCGACTCATTTCTGGGTAATCCTTATCATCTCGAGCTAAGACAAGAACTTTATCCAATGTTGGAAATTCTTGTCTAAAGAAGAATTCATGCACTTTCCGTCGAAGTCCTTCTTTAAAATGATATTCTATTTGAAATTTTGGTGTCCCTGGAGCATTACGTGGCATTTGAAAACTACCACATTTCTCTTCGTTAATAACTCTGTAAATCGTAGATTTCCCAACACCAAGTGTACTGCTAACTAACTCAACGGTCTCATCAACACTTTCACATAAATGTTTGTCTGTAAATGATTTAAAACAATTAAATATTAATGTTTTTTCATTAACTGTTAAAGTACCAATTTTTCGGCGTTTACACTACTTTACACGGCACTTCCAAGTTTTCCATAACACTAGTATACACAATAAACTGCACCTTGCAACTGAAGTACCTACTTTTAGTGAACTGTTAAGAATTTTAAATACGCCCTTGGACCTTCCTACAAAATGGAAAAACCCACTATCACATTTTCTGTGAAATAAGTTTAGAAGGTAATTATCTAGTCAATTACTGTCGTAGATTCCTGGAATTAAAGAATTAAATGTTTGATTGTTGAAACCCTTACTTCGTGAAATGCACTCATTTCAGATAAAATAAAACGTTTTATTTTATCTAAAGAATTAAACTTTATTTTGCAAATAGGTAGGTACTTATTAAACTTTTATTGGTTATATATAACCAATAAAATAAACATCTTACATTTCTTGCAAATTCATTAGTACCTGTTAACCTCTATCACTCCGACACTGGCAACCTTATTTAGGGATTAGTAACCCTCACAACTATTGTATTCTATTCTGCTCCAACCTTTATACCTGGTGGTCATACTCAATTTAAAATTGTTTTCCTATATACTTCTGTAAACTTGTTGACAAATATCTGTTTTTCATTGAGTCACCCGTATCAACAGTTTAGGGATTTGCATACATAATTTATTGTTTTATTACTCTCTCATACATAAAAATACACTATAGTTATGATAAACTTTATAGATATATTCCAAACTTTATTAATAATATTCTTTCCACATTTCCTGAACAATTTTTTCAGTGCTTATGCGACTTATAAAAATTTAATTTGTTAGTTAAAAGGAAAACGTATTAAAATATATGAAAAGTTCATTCATTTTTTATTTAAGTAATCTTTCATTAATTAATCAAATATTAATAGTACTTTAATTGTTAATTTTTCACTCTTCATCAGTCTTCATCTCTTCACCAATTTCTCCTTTTTCATTATTTGGAGGGCTATTTTTTCAATTGTCCCCACTGCATGATCCGTAGGCTGCATTGCAAAATAACCCTACTCTTCGACACCAGCAAGAAGCGCCACACCTTTTTTTGTAGTTGCAAAGAAACATTTTTAACAATTCTTCTGGAGCAGGAGGATTGGGTTTTTTAACTGGAAACAAAGACTCTTCAATTTTGTACCATCCCCAGTCAACTAGACGAATGTCTTTGTTTTCAAGCCATATCTTCGTTTGTAAATAACCTCTTTTAATGTGTTCATTCAATGCAACAACCGTTGCGACCAGAGATGAAAACTTTACTGCACAATTTTTAGTGGTAGCCTTAATAAAGGACTCGTTACGTATCTGTTCCAAATAAGCTGATAGGTCTTCGATGCGTTGTAGTTTACTCATATTCACATCTTTTGCACTTCCATACAATAATATTGTGCAGTACCTACCAGCTTCTAAAATGGCATCGATATCAGCGGCTTTATTATAAAATATATCGATCTTCTCTCTTAAATCAGGTTTTTTGTCTAGAAGATCAATAATTTTTTCCCTTTATTATAAAAGCAGAAGTCGAGTCACATCCAGAGAAACAATGAGAGAATAGAATATATACTCCTATGCATGGATAATTGAGTTCTAAGCTTTTTCAATGATATATTACTAAGTTAACATTTTATTTTCCAAGTTTCAAAAAATAAGTCTCCTCATCAGCTTTATCTCGGGCAGTTAAAATAGTTAAAACATCATTGTCTTCTGCTATTATAACTTTTGGCAAACTTGAGCTCTTATCCTCAATTGTTGTCTCTACTATTAATCGTAAGCTTCTCATTTTCCTTGCTTGTATTTTATGGATTTTTTTTCTAGTTCCTCCATAAGATATGATATAAAAAGCCTTTTATTTTTATAATTACTCAAAAATTTGTCTTGACTAATAGCTACTGGCATATCTTTTGTAAACTTAAATTCTTTACAAGTAAACTTTTGTGACTGAAGATTCCGTTCTGCAGCGTTATTACTATCTTCATCGTAAGAATCAAAAATAGCAGTTACATTACTACCGAAATTTCTTTTCAAATAGAAAATATATGCCTCAAAGATCTTATTATGTATATTTCGTGAGCATATACGTATCGAAACGTCTACTTCTTATTACCTATCTTTTTTCCTATATATACCTACATACAAAATCTCTACTCCAAAAATTTTTCCAAAGAAATTTTATTTATTTTTTTACAATAACTCCGTTGATTTTTAAAATATCAGGTTTATTTAAAAACAATTTGAAAGGTAATTTCAAGGACTACAAAGTCGTATTAAATTTAATGTTTTAAATCACTTATTTTTTAAAACATAAACGGTTAAAGGGCCCTGGCTACCTGGTTCTCGCAGAAAAATTTAGGTTTAAACGATTTTATCTCAGTTATTTCTTATACTACAAAAATATAAAAAAAGAAAATCTTTGATAAAAAAAACCTTAAATTACTAGGAGGTCGGAATACTGAGCCTCCATTTCGTTTAAGAATTCTTTAAACTCACGATGGTAGAGTGATTTTGACAAGATTCTATTAACAATCTTGATCACCAAATTCATGACCTCAACTATTTCGGCTGGAAATGTTTGGGCATAAAGCGATTTTTGGTGTATTATGCAGTGAAACGTAAGAATTTCGTGATTTAATTTGCTTTAAAGAATGGTTGTTGTCCCTTTATTTTTTCCTGTCATACTTCTGGCTCCATCAGTTGCTATTGAAACGATTTTATTTAAGTCGATCTCATTGTCTTCAAGGCATTTTTGCACGGCATGCGCCATATCTTCCCCTTTAGCTGTCCCGAGAGCGGTAGCAATTCCAGAAGTTCTTCTTTGAGACCTTGGGAAGACATATACCTGACAAAAAGGGTAACCTGTGCCATGTCTTTTACATAGCAAA